TACCTCTCGAGTGATTGATTGGGAATCTCTTAAAGTAATTTTGGATTCATTATTGCAAAACATGTCACGTTAAAATAGCAGTGATTCTGACATGGGATAAATTCACTCTCAAACATCCTCTAAATAGAAATACAAATTTTTCTCCATATCAACCACGCCAATTTGGTTTTGTGACAAAATGTTGTTAGTTATGAAAAGAAAAGAACTTTAGGGAAATAATCCAACATTAAATAAATCTAATTGTTCTACTAATTGCATTTGGATTTTAAAATTATTTGCCCATTTTTTATTTTGGCATAATAAACTTATCTAAATATGGTGAAGCCATAAAGGCAACGTGTGCAGTTGGGAGTGATGAAGAAACGGTTGGAAAAGTAGTTCCCAGCTGATTGGCCTTCTTTAAATTCACCAATAATAATTACTCTTTTTCAAACTTTAATTAATACTAATTAATTGCTTTCCAAATATATTCGATCAGATGAGACAAAAACGAATAATAAAATATAGATGAAGAAATTTCTAGAGAAAATCCAATAAAGCTTTCGTAAAGCCATGAGTAAGGCATATTTCAAATGGTTGTGAATGGCTCCATTTGCAGGGGAAATGTTTGAATTGTTGCCGTGTCTTAATTAGGTAGGATTTGCTAATATTATTTTTAATTAAAACAATAATAAAATTTTAATTTAATTTTATTATTATTATTTTATTAATTGTAAATATTTTTGTATTATAACAATTTATTTAATAGTAACAAAAAGTAAATAATTAAAATAAAATTACATCAACTAAAAATATTCATATAAGTTTTTGACATCAATCATCATTAACATAAAAAAATATTAAAATTTTAATAATAATAAATTTTATTTTAATAATTTTATTGATATTATTTAATAATAATGGAGTAAAATTAAATAATTGATAAATAAAATATAAATTTGTAATATTTTATAATCAAATAACATCAACTTATTCGAAGAAAAAATTATTAGTAGTATAGCTAAACAAAGTTAGAATAAAACTTCAAAAACAATTAACTAAAAAAATTATGATCTCATTAATAGATCAAACAAAAATGATAAAAATCTGTATAGTTTTAATTAATGAAAATATATATGGCCCACATAAAATGTAGATATGATTATCCTTTTAACCTGGGTCACATAAATTGATTTCATTCTTATATTTTAGTAAATATTATTGAAGGGAATGAAAATTTGAAGTAATTTCATTTCTATTAATTCTTATTTACTTATAGTAAATAGGACGGGATTGTCATGAACAATCTAGTTTGGACATGATTTAGGTGGAGACGTGCCTCGAGGGTATTTATGTCCTAATGCGAGTGCGACGTAGTGGTCATGTAATGTCTTTTGAAGAGTTAGTTTCACCATGGTGGATGGATAAGAAATTGCCTAAATAAAATAATGGTAACCGCAAATACCTATGGCGAATAATACATTAAAAAGTTAAAAAATAGAAAGTTTGAAATCTAGATATCTAAAAATTAAATGACACATTATTATGGTCATTAAATAACATTACATTATTATATTTGAGAACCATGTGGGTAAATAAAAGAAAAGGTGATTGGTAATGGTAACTCTCAAGTTGGGTAATGAGAGTGACCACTGGTTGGTAATAGGCTTCATCATATCTTCTATCCCGGATTACGCTTTCTTAACAACGACATCCAAACAGCACCTTTCTTCTAAGTCATGAAAGAACCTTCTCTGGGCAGGGTTCCGTGGCGATATTTTTGGGCCTCACTTTCAAGACATGGGCTCTTTGCCAATGTATTGGGCTGGGCTTTCTGAGAGCCCAATTTTAGCGTAACTTATTGTTCTATAAAGAAAAATGAAAAATGAATTTTTTTGATATCGCCCTTCGAATTTAACATAATAGGACTGTAGGAGTAGGATTGCTCTTTTTTAAGGGAAATTGGTAAAAATAAAAATAAAAAATTAATTTGTTGAAAAATGAAAACTCAAGACAAGGTATTTTTATAATGGAAGACTCTTGTATGGTACCATATTATTACCATTTCAATTTTTTACTATTCTATGTTTTGTTCCTTTTATATGATGAATCTATTTTTAGGCCTTGTATGGACTCTCATAACATTTTTCTCATACATATTTTTACAACAATTTAATCTCCACATAAAATCTACCAAGGTTCATGATGTAAAAATACCTTTTTTTTTTTTTTTTAACATGATGTAAAAATACTTTTGGATCATAGAAAATTCTTTGATTTCATTAATCGGTTTAAATTTTATATGGTCTGTATAGTTCCAACAGATAGTCCTTGTACTTCCAAATTTAGTCAATTTTAGTCTATGTATTTTAAAAAGGTTTGTTCTAGTTGATGTAATTTTTAAAAGTAACCATTTTTGTCTTTATTTAAAAAAATTTAATACAAATTTTAAACACAATGATACTCTTTAATATAAAGTCACGATATATATTGAATGTAGTCTTATGTTGAAATCGAGATACAAAAATGAGATGGAAATAAAATGAAGATAAAAAAATTAACCTTTTGATAAAACCAAAGAATATTTTAACCAATTAGATAAGAAAAAAAACTTTTCATTTTATGCTTTGATTCATTTTGGTCAACATAATTTTCATCTCTGTATTTTTAAAACGTGACTATTTCTATCTTTTTATTTTCATGTTTATCTCATTTTTTCTATCACGATTTTAGCATATCACTTCACTCGCTAAATTTCTTAAAATACAACCATAAATTTAAATTAAATTGTTTTTATTTTGTAAAATAATTATAAATATAGATTTAATTAATCATTTTTTAAAAGTACGAAAACCAAGATAAATATTTAAAAAGTATTAGAGGATAAAAATGAACCAGAGTGAAAATCATCCAAACCAATTGTGTTTAAATCCAATTAAAAATTAAAAAAAAAGGGATAAAAATCCATCCATAATCTTCCAAACAAGCAAAGACAAAATTTGAAAAAATGCCTAAAAATTTGCTTCACGGGACATCTTAATTACATTAATTTATGCTTCAAATTCTCCCCTTGCCCCCTTTAAATACCTTGATTTAAACCAAACCCTGTTCAAACTAAAACGATCAACAAACAATGAATCTAATTTTCTCAAGTATTTTTGCATTTCTTCTTCTTCCTTCACCCATTAATGCTCAACAGAATTACTCATCACACAGCTGCGGCGGCGGCGGAGACGAGGAACAGAGAGGACTCTACTCCTGCAATGGCGAAGCCAGCTCTTGCCGGGCCTTCCTCATCTTCAAATCCAAATCGCCTTGCGATTCGGTTCCTTCCATTTCCAATCTCACTTCTTCAAAACCCAGAAGAGCTCGCCGGCGCCAACAACGTCACCGCGTTTTCCGTTTTCAGACCAAACACGGCGGTTGTTGTTCCAATTGGGTGTTCTTGCGTCGGCCGATTCTATCAGGCCAACTCCTCTTTTGTCTTAGCGCTCTCCCAAACCTATTTCGTTGTGGCGACTGAGATTTACCAGGGATCTGTAACTTGCGAAGCTCTTAAATTTACAAATGGATTCGATGAATTCCATCTCCGGCCTGGTTTGAAACTGCACGTGCCACTCAGATGCGCCTGTCCGACGAGGAACCAGGCCGGAAATGGTGTCAAGTATTTGGTTACTTACTTGGTTGGCAATGGCGAAACGGTTTCACAAATTGGGGAGAAATTCAATGCGAGTAAGAAGAGTGTTGTTGAAGCAAATGGATTTCATGACAAAGACGACCCGAATCTATCTCCATTTTCGACGATTCTAGTTCCATTGCCAACTGAACCATCAAGTTCACAGATTATATCACCATCCCCTTCTGCTCCCAATCAGCTGAAGAAAGAGCGGTCGAGAAACGTTTGCGTCGATATCGCGAAAAGCGCCGGTTTCGTCTTGCTGGTCATTACCATTGTTGTTTTTGTAGTCTTTCTCCTTCAAAGATCCAGAGCAAACGGGATGACTTCTAAGAGTGATAAGAACATCATCAAGAAATGGACACCACCTACAGACATTAGAGTTGAAATTGCAAGCATGGGGCGAGTCGTGAAAGTCTTCAGCTTTGAGGAGATAATGAAAGGCACAAGAAGGTTCAGTCCCAAGAACAGAGTAAATGGGTCGGTGTACCGGGGAACATTCGGCAAGAAGATGAAACTAGCAGTGAAAAGAACCCGAGTGGACGCCATTAAAGAAGTCGACATGCTGAAGAAGATCTACCATTACAATCTGGTGAAGCTAGAGGGTGTTTGTGAAGACCATGGCCGTTTCTACCTTCTTTTCGAGTTCATGGAAAATGGATCACTGAGAGAATGGCTCAACAGAGGCAGCAGAAGAGAGAGACAGAGTTGGGGGAAGAGAATTCAGATTGCTCTCGACATTGCTAATGGGCTTCACTATCTTCACAGCTTCACAGAGCCAGCGTATGTTCATAACAACATCAACAGCAACAATATTCTTTTGAACAGAAATTTAAGAGCCAAAGTTTCAAACTTTAGTCTGGCAAGAACAACAGAGAGAGCCAGAGCAGCCTCTGTTCTGACCACAAATGTTGTGGGGACAAAGGGCTACATGGCTCCTGAGTACAGGGAGGCAGGGATTTTGACTCCAAAGATTGATGTCTATGCCTTTGGAGTGGTGGTTTTGGAGCTTGTTAGTGGAAAAGAGGCTGTTTCCATGGAAGGGGGAAGGGAAGTTTTACTTTCTGCAACAATTGTTCCCACCACTGGAGAGAATGTGGAAGCCCGGGTAGCTCGGTTTTTAGATTCCAACGTCGAGGAAGCAGGGAAGATGGAGTTTGCTTTCTTGATGGTTAAGCTAAGTGCAGCCTGCTTGGATCAACAGCCAGAACGGCGACTGAGCATGGGGGAGGTAGTGTCAACTCTGATAAAGATTCAGGTCCATTTACAGAAGCTAGAACCATCACCATTGTCATATGGCAACTAGGATTGGTTTGAAGAAAAAGCTGAGGCAGAGACAAATGTGGAAGTACGAGCATTAAAAATAAATGAATCTAATTTAACTTAATCTGCACAAAGCTGATCTTTCTATGAATTTGGCCTTAGCTGTAAATATGGAAGGCCAAGAAAAGAAATGGAAGAAGTGAAGAAATTTAAAGAATTGACATCATTTAACGGTACAGATCTCCAGTTTCAATAAGGAAAGGTCCCAGTCATTTGAATATGATCGAGGGTACTCCGAAGACCGTATTTATGCACTGCCATCTGCCCAGCCCTAAATCCATCTCCATACACTGGGGACATGTCTGACTCTATCTGGTGTTTGAAGAACTCCCCAAGTTTTCTCTCAAATTTAGACATTGGTTTTCTTCTTGATGATGCTGCAGGAGCAGCGGAGTACGAGGTCGAGGCAACATCGTTAGATTCTTGACAAGACATGAGCTCGTTACTCAACCACATGTGTGCTAGAACTTGACAGATACCTTCTTCTACGTCTTGACTAAGAGTTCGAAAACCTTTGAAAACCATGGCATGAGTGTCAGAATATCAAACAACAGAACAGGTATGTAATATGTTCAAGCCATTTCCGAAGACAAAATTCAGTGAAATGATAAGCACCTTTAAGACGCAGCCATGCATGCATCATCTCATGTGCTAAAATCGACCCGGTAAGCAACCTGTGCACATCAAGAATCCCAGTCGTCATGCAAATTTCACAAAAACTAATATTACTATTATGACGAAAAGTATTTTCGATCCTGCTCTAAACTTGCAGAAGCAGAGCCAACGGTAATCAAATATACACATTTTTGAGACATAATCCTCAAGAATTTTAACAATCCATTGAAGTATGGATAAAAATTAACAACTTTTAAGGTGGTTGGATTTGAATGAAGATGGAGGGCAGTGAGAATAACAAGATTCAATAATTCAAATTTGCAAGTAACGTAGCTGCTCTAAATGCTTTATGTAATAAATAAGCAAACTAGCCAAAAATGAAATGGAGATTACATACCTAGGAAGACCAAACAGGATGAGAATTGCAGTGACCTCACAATGACGTCTTAGTTTGTATGGCTCCGTCATCATGCCCGTTACTCGGTTCCCCCTTTCATATCTAGGTCGCCTTAGAATCTGTGATTTTTTGTAAAGGGAATATGCCGTCGATCAATGAATAACTTGATTCATAAGCAAAACAAGGAGGGAAAAAATGTGGAGAGGAGCAGAAATTCTTACAGTGCTAATGGTTTGTTCCTCTGAGAGACACAGTCCTCTTGTCTCGGGGATATGATAATGGCCCTAACAAGGACGAGAAAAACGGAAACAGAATGAATTGCTGTCTTAAGGACTAACTTGCAATTAACAACAAATTTTCAGAGTTAAAAGTAAGGGGAAAGAAAAGACAATATCAAACATTACAACTGAGAAGGGGTTGTAAAGTTACATGTTTTTCTCCTTCTCTTGCTTCGTTTAGTGCTTGCCTTTCAACTAAAAGCAACGGAACTTCCTGCTCGACTTTCATATTCAAACCGTCATAAAATTCTTGTATCTCACGATAAAGAGGTTGGCATTCTTTTGTGTCCATGATCGTAGAGTCGAGACACTCGAGGCAAAGCTTACGACCATCATGAAGTGAAATATACTTAACCTCTTGTGGCTGGTGAATACAAAACACCCAATACTTGTCAAAAGTTCATGGCAATCAATCAAAATTTTCTTGAAGAACTTAAAGAGAGAGATGCCACTGACCTCCATTCGTTCGCAACTGCAACATCGGGGAGTACTATCGTATTCATGAGAGGGACAATATTTCTGGATCCAGAAAGGGTGTGCCCTATATTCAATAAGACCAGCAGGATTTGTTGGAATCTGTTCATGAGACACATATCCCAAATCCCAACACCAATTGACTATAAGTAGATATTTGAAGAATAATATACTCTGTATATGTTAATTTCACTTGTAGGAGGAACATCCACACGTCATAGTAAACAAAATGTTCTTTCTTCATGCGTTGACGAGTGGAATCTCTCCAAATTTGACTAAATACATTTTTTTAAATCAGAATTTGGGATGAAATAAGGAGCTCAACTAAAAGTTAGAGATTATGGACTGGAAAAAGTACTTACGAAATGCTTGCAAACATCACATTTTGGGTGATAATTCTCCTTGTAGCAAGATTTATGGTAGGGAAAATTCCCAGAAGTAGAAAACTATAAGAAGAAAGGGTCATGTCAGCTAGAGCCAAAAGTACCTTTAACTCTGGAAAAAGTAGATCGCTCAAGAAATTTAGAGAATATTTTTCACCTCGTAGTCTGAGATTGGAAGGTTGCAAGCGCGGCAACGGAAACATTCAGGATGCCAAAATGCATTGAGGCAGTTCAAGTAACGTCCGTAGCCAATCTCGACATAGCATCCAGCACATATCCTAACAAGAATAAATAATTATTCAATCATTCGTTTTCTTTCATTCATTAGTTGGCAACAGACTTCTCGAACAGGTTTACACTGCAAAAGTTAGCCTAAAGATCTCAGACTTTTATTGTCTTTGCAACTAAATGAATTCAAAAGCACAAAAAGTTGAAAGAACAAATGCGAGCAAAGATAGAGATTCTTGCAAGAGATGGAAAAAGAATGATATACAAAGCAGTACAGTATTGGCACATAATTTAATGAGGTCCATTAAATGAATATTAGTACCTCGAACCCAATTGATATTGGGGTAGATAAGGTTGATACATATTTCCATTTGTATATTGTGGAGGAGATTCAAAATTGAGGCTCTCTTGTACTGCTTTGGCAAGCAGTTCATCTTCTTCCAATTGATAATCACGATCTATCAAAAGTTTCAATAACTCGATGCATAAGTTCTGGCTCATAACAAATAAACTGGGAACATCAATGAAACATTTATAACATATAATACGAAAGATGTTAATGTCATTTCACCAATTCCAGGTCGAAGATTGAAGCCATGATTGCTAATAAGTAATACCATAAACAGCAATACTGAAGAACACGTCATATTGTATCATAATATTTCAGATATCATTTCGTTTGTTCAGAAATTTTAGTGCAAATTGTCTAAGAAACAACCTATGAGATGTGTACCACTTCAAGTAACAGACTCCCAAGTTCCACATCTTATATTCTCAGGTGCATTAGGCTTGTCAAAACATGAATTTGATGAAATTAAATTTCAAAGATAATTTACATCCATCACAATTGAACAGATTTTTTTGTGTAATTTCCATGAGGACACTGGAAAGGCCCAAAACAAAAGATTTGGATGAACTAATAACAGAACAATTATTTCTGTCAAAGTAAAAGATGGTAGTTGCGAATAGCAATTGGAGTAAGTTTAGACAGCCACTTCACTCACCAATCACATTATTTGCCTTCTGATTTTCTTCTAAGAGAGAAATTGCTATAGCACGATCGATGTCTTCGTTCTCGTTCTCTGACCATAAACCCTGTATTCAAGTTCCCACCACAGTATGTTAAAATGGCAAAACTATAAGATAGAAGATCTAAAGGCTCTTAGAAGTTTTAAGAGAGACCATTAAAAGACAAGGTTTCACACATTGCTGGTTAAAAATAGCAATTAGTTATTGTCCCATTGATGTGGGACTAAATATAGCAACAAAGAGTGATGACAGCAAGTAGTATCGCATCACCTCTGAAGTCGAGGGCAGATGAGAATTCGGATCCTCCTCATAGTTTGTCTGGTAATTCCTTTCAGTTATTTTATGGCCAGATCCAGCTTTTAAAATTTTGCTTAGCCAACCCATGGTGTTTAGTCTAATCTGCCCATGATCAATGAAAAAGTTTTACCTGGGGAAAACCGCACCCAATAAAATGATGAAAGGAAAGAACATAAATACAGCCATAGGTCATTCAATACATCCCTTTAGTTGCCAGTTTCATCTTTCCAACTGTCCTCAATAGATTGAATATAAGCAGTGGTTTAATTATAATATACCAATACTCAATACATATTTACATGCTTGTATAATACGGTGAAAGGGGAGGGGAAAACAAAATACACAGAGACCAACTCCTTTCTAAACCTTAAACGACACAAGGAAAGATTAAGGTTCAACATGCTTGAAGAACAATAGAAACAAGACCTAATTGGAAAGAAACAGCAATGGCCCAAAAAGAACAGTATCCGTCAATCATCTAACTAATTTCCTCCTTAATCGCAAAGACAATCTTGGGCACAGAAATCAATACTCGCAACCATTTAAACAAATACGAAATTCAAACGACAAAAAGATAATAGCCATTAATCTCTTTGCCTCAGAATAATTCTTCAGAAAAGAAACGTTCTGACGATCTAAAGACAGTAAAACATCCGTCAACATCCCTGAAAACCATCTGTAAATAGAGAGAGATTCTTCCAGCTCGAATATGGTACAAATTCAAGTTTGTCATCAATAGTTTCGAATGAACGTAATAAGAAGAGAATAAAATAGTGGGTTTGAGCAACTCACCTCTGGAAATCAATCAAGAAGCTGCACGAATGGCGGAAGCAGCAGAGACCCAGATAAGAAAAAGATCCCAATTCGCTAAAAGAAAGCCAGAATTACGCCGTAATCAAAGAAGCCCCCTCTATGATTCGTTTCCACCTCTCTCTCTCTGTCCTATTCTTGTAAGCGTATAATCTATTCAAGGAGGAGGAAAAGGGAGAAAAGGGGAGAGAGATATTTTTATTAATTCAAGTAATTTGGCAGCCCCAGACCGAAAAGGTAATTGAGAATAAGGAGAAAGAAAAGTTGAAGGTTATTCACATTCATACATCAGCAAATACGGCGAAGCAGACACGCAAAGATCGGTTGAGAAGTTGATTTCTCAGAAATTCAAAGTCAAAGAGGAGGATGTAAGCGTATCGCAATTCAAACCCAATAGGGAATGACGAAGAAACATCAAACCCAGTTGGGGAAATCAAAGCTTTTCAATGCTTAGAAGACATACAGAACGTGGGGGCCCCTAAAGCTCTGCCCAACGACAATAAACCCCAAAAGGGTTCTAAGAGAAGAAAGCGTAAAGGAAGAAAAAGGCATCAAAAAAATGAAAGAAAAGAAAAAAAGAAAGGGGAAAATTGCCAAGATATCATTTATTCCTACAATGGCGCGTATGCTTATACACGAAGAGAAAAAGGAAACAAACAGCAAATTGAAGAAGATATAAAGTGAAAGTGGCAAAAGTCGGCAGGTGAACTGAAAAGATGGATTGATTTCTTCAACAATTACAAGATAACGAAAATTTTACACAACAATCGTTAGAAAGATTATAAAGGGGGGACGAGACAAGAGGGGGGGAAAAAAGTTGAAAGATTCTTCAAAAAATGGTGTGGTTGACAAAAGATTCCAAGCGCACTGCCTCTACAAACAACAAAGTTTCAAGAATATTAATTAATGATTAACAAACTTGGAATTTAGAAATTTCCCAACACAAAAAAAAAGGCCGTAAATTGGAAAAATAAAATCGTGGTACTGTCAAGTGTTTTTTTTTACTTTGTTTTGCCATTGGCAGAAGTGTTGGACTAATTCAAACTCTCTTCTCCCTGTCTCTAATTTATTTTATTTTCCTCGTGGCTAACCAGAAAAAAAAATTCTAAAAATATTGGTAATTTCTATTATTGGCTAATGGTGGCTATTCCTTGCGTTTTGACGCAAAATTTGAATTGAGACGACAATGATCTTGTGACTTCTAGTAGATCTTTATACAATTGAAGGTTTATTTTAAAACAATAATTAGAAGATTGACTTATTAATAAATTCAACGGTCAATTTTTAATTATTTTTTATTTAATTTTTAACTATTTGATTTGGAATGGTGCGTCCGCGTGGCATTTGATTGTTCCATGTCAATAGTGACTGCTTGAGATAAAAATTATTAGAGAAAATAGAAGTTCTTCAATAAATAAAAATATCTTTATTAGTTTGAAAATTTGACTTATTGGCCTTGAAATACTTGTTTATCAAATATAAACCGAAGATATTTTATTTAAACCCTTGTCATTTCTTTTTCGACTTCTTTTCTTTCTCTTTTTTTATTATTTATTTATTTTTGTTTATTTTAGAGCTAGTGAATTAGATTTGTTTCTTTTTATCAACTTTTGAACTGGAATGACTAACTATATAATTTGGTTATGAAATAAAAATTTATAACATTTTTAAAATTTTCATCTCCAATAATTTAAAAGCTTCATTATTTGTCTTTAAAGTATTAAAGATTTCAATCGAGCTCTATTCAATAATACCATGAAATTTTATAAAGTAACATGATTTAGCAATTAAAAATATTATTTTCAAAAGCAGGCATGTGTGAAGGTTAAATATTTATCTTCATAACTTGATTAATATTTAATCATTCTTGGTTGATTAAAATTTTAATTCGATTATCAAAAATTTGTTATTAGATAATTGAAGTCGACCTTTAAGAAACGCTAGCTCACATAAAACAATGTGTTCATATGATTTGTCACTAGTTTTTTTTTTATTCAAATTTAATATTATTATGGACTTGATTTAATTTTTTTAAATATTTTTTAATATCAAATAAATATTAGAGATAAAATTGGAAATGAGTGGTATAAATTTAAGGGATTAATATATTGATGGACTATTTAAAGATCCTAATTAGATAAAAGGATGGAAGGTATGGAATTTACACTTTTTGTAATGAAACAAACTAAGATCAACTAAATTACAAAACTATCCTTTTGTATATACACATTAATATTAATTGATTTTTAAATTCTAGAATTCATTAATTGGAAGGTTATATTTTGAATCCCATGATATTTGCTTAACATCCAAAAATATCCCAAAATCCCTCAAATTCGAAAACCTCCAAAAATATCCCCAAATTCGAAAATAGTGATGGTTCGTGTCTCCGTCTGTCTCAGAGGCTTCGTATTCGTCACAGAGTTGTCTGTTCCTGTCGCCGAGCAGTCCGTTTCCATTCTACCATCGTTATGTTTCTGTTCGCTCCTTCGTCTCTAGTCCCCACCTCCGTTTTTCTCCGTGCCGGAGCAATTCGTCTCCATTTGTCCCGATCGAAAAGTTTGCATTCCAATATATCCTAATATATCCTAATGTTAAAAACATTGTTAAGTAGTACCCAATAGTTGTATACATAGGGTTATATGGGAATATATCTTAGATATATTGGGATATATGAGATATATGGGGGAAAAAGTGCTCGAACGAGAGGAATCTGTTGAATCAAATCTGAAATGCGTCCGGTGGTGGCTTCCAACAACCGGGAATCAAGCAATTAATGTTTAAATTTTGTATGTGCCCACGATAATTAAAGGAATATGATTGCAATTTAGAGATTCAAATCTTTTACATTCCAAAAAATAATAATAATAATAACTATAACTATAATAAAAGTAAATGTAATAAATAAGGGTAAAATCGATATTATAAAAAAAATCCTCCATGCAGTCTAAAATTACGGTGATGATAATTAATATTAACAAAGAATTTTTTACAACAATTATTAATAATTATCCTAATATACAAAGCCAACCTAAGTCCAAAAGGTCGTGAACCCAAATTCGTCGTATTAAATAAAATGATTATTAGTATTTAAATAGAAATAAGAATGGTATTTATACAATATAAGTTGAAATTACATATTAGTTTCATAAACAATGAATGCTATATCAAAATAAATTAGAATATTTGACATTGAATTATTTCAAATTAATTCTTCCTCAACTCAAGAATAATATTAAAATGTTCCTTATAATCTCATAAGATTCTAATGAACCAATCCTACACCAAAAAAAAAAAAAAAAAAAAAATCTTTGTAGCCTATGAGTTAAAAAGGTTACACTAGAAGAAGCCCCAATTGAAAATGGATGAGGTAGTTGAAGATATTTACATAAATACAACAAGCCTTCATCTAATGTCTACAACTTAATTCAATGGAAACCAAAAAGTTAGTCTAGTCTAACACCATGTGTAGCAACTACAGGGAGTGTTTTTGAGATCAAGTTTTTGCTAACATCTAAACTTTCGCCGAACTCACAGCCACATCCAGAATTTGGATAAGCAGCAGCATCCAATCGATAATTCAGTCTGTTTCCGAATCCGAGCAGAATGGTATCCTGTTTTCTTCGTCATAAGGTTCGGGAAGATATGGATGTAGAGCTTCAGTGCCGAGAAAAATCTACATTGTTGTTCCTGCACCATCAGATAGGAGAGATGCTGCGGCAGCAGCAGCAGTAGGAACGACACCGGTGGATATTCCCGGTTTCGACAAATGCAGCAGGCTGTAAAAAGTAAAGATAAAAGCTTGGTCTCTTGTCACACTTTAGAAGGTGCAACCAGAATAGCAAAAGACAGACATATTTGGTATTTGATCTTATTTTGAGCTAACATGAATAAAAACTCTCTCAATTTAGATTTTCTAACCCCACAAGTATATAGTTACAGGTTTCCACGGCAGAGGAGCAAGTTATTGATTACAATGCAAAAGCATCCAGTAAAAAAGTGCCCTGTGAATGCAAAACAATTCAACAACATATAGATAATGAATGATATTTGTGAACTTGTTTCGTGTTTTTTTTTTGCAGCAGTCATTCAACAAGGCAAGAAGATACCCATAAGGCTGATTATCAAGTCCATATCAGCAATCACAGCTCCAGTCTGTGAGATAGGCTAATGAACATGCACAAACTGAGTAGAACTAGGACAAAGATTTACTCCTAATAAAAGTACTTACGGTGCAAGATATTCACAGAAAGTTGACACTGCACCGGCTACTTCAGAATAGTTTTCAGAAGTTGCTGGGGCTGTCACTTCGACTAGCTGTATACCAGGTGTTACAGGCACAGCCTCATCCGTCGAATGTAGCTTTAACATCTTATTAACTGATGAAACTGTCACGGTTATGTGAGCACCCCGATGGAAACGGAAAGCAAAACCAACTCTAAGCAGCTCATGGTCTAACTTGTAGCCAAGTGCATAGAACAGACGAAGCACATTCTTGCTAACTTTGCTTTCTACCATTGTCCTAACCAGAACAGAGAGTTGTTCAGCCCCTGCTCCTCTCATTGCCCCTCCAATATGTTTAACCGTCCTAAAAATCAAGGGGACACTTCTCATTAATTCAGTTAGCTCCAAAAGAGTAAACACCAAATATAATAAATAACACGCTGTTACTGCAAAAGACCAAGTTGTACCATGCCGGTTCAGCCTGCTCTAGATCACACAAGATCCGAACCTCCGAAGCCACAGCACCTAACATCATGCCGAGAGATTACGAACTTAGACATGAAATAAAATGGAAGCACAACCTCCATTTTTCTAAGAGAAATGCTGCTCCCATCAATCACTCTTATGAAATAAAAAACACTATACAGGGGCATTTGGGGCGTGAGTTCGGCATCTTCAGCCCGGGAATATTAAGTCTAGGGATTAAGTAGAGGGTTTTGGAAGTTTAGGAATTGGGGTTGGTTTGGGTACCTGTTGAAAACTTGAAACTCATGGGTTTGTCTAACAAACCCCAAACATGACAACCCACGGGATGAACATGGATTCGTACTTTTAAGCTATATCCAAATCCTCACACCAAACACCTCCAATGAGAAAACCATCACATGCTGACAGGCAAAATATACAATAATATGATGAAGAAAAAGATGCATACCTAAGTTGGGTCCACTTTTTAGGCATATTTCATGAAGTCTCAATCGTTCTCTAGGAACGCCGCAAATACCTTGAAGAAGTATCTCAAGGGCCTCAACGTGCTGCAGAATCAAACTGTCAATAGAAGTCCAAAGCACGAAACTTATCGCTACTGTCAAGAAAGGAATAACTAAGGGAAAAAATTACATCCATTTACACACAACAGCCGTGAAATAAAAATAAAAATAGCACGCAGTATCACAATGCAGGAAAACATTAAATCATGATTGATAGAATAGCAGCAACAGTGAAGACGTTGCAGAATGTAACCGGGACATTCTCCAATTAGAGAAACCTAGAACAAAATTACCCGGGAATGGAAACGAAAACGAATTGTGAGACAGAAATGGAACTTGCCTGTGTCTCTATTATGCCCTGAACAACACACTCCATCGTAGTCTGTGCTGGGGGCCACTTCGATTAGCTTCTGTTTCAAACTTCCGGCATCTGAATTAGTCTTCAACAGCCGAACCTTCAAATACCCAGCTGCATCTCCATGGCCTCGGATTCGAAACCAGAAACGTGAACCCTGAGTGAAAAACGAACGAGTAATCAGTAATGGAGGGTTTCTCCAATTCTCTCGGGGTCTAGATCTCGCAATCGGAGCAATTTCACGCCTTGACCCGTTAGCGTTTATTATGGATTAAGCCCATGTTGAAGTGTCCTAAAGCAGGTATTGGGCTTTTTGGCCCAATCCCTTGTCAGATCCCAGATTCTACCCACCTTTTTTTTTTTTTTTAAGTTTATGTACGTTTAAAAATAATTATTTTGATCTTTTTCATTTTTATTTTTATCTCTGTAGATCATAATTTCAGCATTACATTTCATTATAAATTTTTATGAAAGGATTTTAACTGTGTATAAAATTTATGTTATAATTTTATAAATAGGGATCAAATTGATATTTTTTAAAAATGCAGAGATTAAAATAAATTTTTTGAAATTACAATAACTAAACTAAAATGAACAAAAATTGAAAATATAAGAATCAAAATCAATCTTTTAAAAATGGTAGAAACCAAGATGAAAGTTAAAATAGAGATACCAAAATAGTAGTTCAACCAAAAATATAATATTTCAAGTCAACAGATCAACCTTGGAACCTACAAATTTCAAGGAGGTGATAATATTGAAAATCTATTAAGTAAAAACAATGTGAAGAAAAATTGGACAAGAATGTAAGTGAAATGAGGACACAGCCAAAAAACAATTCTTATGATGAGGGCATATATAACATTTTTACTCTTTTTTCTACTAGTAATTTAATGCAGGTGGGATATTTTTTATTTTTTTTGAATAATAATGCAGGTGGTTGAAATTATTATTTATAGATGTCAAATTTTTATTTTTTATTTTAGTAATACAACTTTCCCTATTTATTATCTATGTATTCAATTCAAGTGGAAACCAAACTCAGCCATAAATATGCAAACACTTCCAATCCCCAATCCTCTCATACTTTGATTAAGCTCTGTCCCTAAATTTTACTCATGTGTCTCTATTTGTTCTTAATTTTCCCCCAAATTCAATTTAATTTACAATGACAAAGTAATATGATACTTTTTATTCGAAATCCATTCCATATTCTCACTTGTTAAGAAACGTATAATATGCCCATATTGTCATTTTTATAGTATGAGCAAAGCATGTCATTTATTCCCCAATTTATAATGTAGATATTAAGGCTAATAATTGAATATTTAACAATTTATTTACTAGACTGAAAAAAAAATTGAGAATAGTATTGGCGTATTGCCAGAGCTAGAGACTCTTATACTATCATGTGTAAGCATTTTTTTAATTAATAATAATAAAAGAATTGGTAATCTCTAATTTCCTCGGCCTAGACTTCCCCTAGATTATATATATTTGTACAAGCCAACAAAGAACGACGCGCCGCCATTGGTGCAGGTTCACTCGCCGCCGCCGCCGCCGCCGCCCGTATTGAGTTTAGAGAGGAAAAAGATGGAGGCGGAAGAGATCAGAACGGCGGCGGCGAAACAAGCGAGATCGGCGGCAGAGTTCAAAGGTATACTCTTGAACTTCTCCAACACACCCACTTGCAGAATCATCACCACCGCATGCCCGATCTTCGACTTCACCGCCGACACCGATTCCATTCCCACCCACGTCGGAAGTTTCTGAAACAATTGCAAAAACCAAAAAGTTAAGAATTTTATCTTCATTTCAATCAAATTTGGGGTTATTTTTTTAATTTTTTAATTACCTTCATGTAGAAGAGACCAAACAAGTTGGATCCAGAATTCCAATGGCGGTTTTCTTCCTTCATCTTCTCGGGTCCAACGAACATTGCAAACAATCCCACCCCAAAAACAAACAGAGCAGTTCCGACGAGGAACATATCTGCCAAAAGTTCGCATTGCGTTCTTAAACAAATAAATCGAAAAACAAGAAAAATTGGGTTTAATTTCGGTTCAAAATTTACCTATGGCTTGAATTAGAAGCTCCACCGTATGATTTTGGTCCGACTTCTGCGAGAGGCCATGGAAATACTGCAGATAAGACTCTGCAACAATAAAGCTCCCCTGAAAAATTCCAAAACAGAGCAGTTGGAAACAAGATTTTGGAATTGGAATGAGAAAGGAAAACTAAAATTATTTTGAAGTCGGCGCCGGTCACCTCCAGGTAGCAGAGTATCGAACCCAATAAAGATCCGGCGACGGCGAATAACGTGAAGAATCGGCAGTCGATTATGCTCTGAGGAAAAACCATAAATCCCGGTGAGGCTTTTAAATGCTAAATTATTAGCTGTTTGATTAATCCAATACCTTTTCGATGAAGTCCTGAATCTTCGTCTTCCCCACAGCGGTCTTCAATTTAACGAGAAGATTCGCCAGCAACGAACCCAAATCCAGTTCTCTGGTTTTGGTGTCCACGGTCTCCGGAGCCGCCACCGCCGCCTTGACGGTGACCATCTTCCTTCTCTCGCCGTCGCCGGAAGTTAACCCCCGTTCGCCGTTGTTGAACGCCGTTCTGCCCATACACCTCACCGTCGTCGCCGGCGATGGAGAGGCAGAGGAAGAGACGACAGAAGCTGAAGGCCGAATCGGCCGGAAAAATCTAGTGGCTGCCATTGTTCTTTTTTAGTTTATCGATGAAATTTGGTGTGCATTTTTTTTAATACCGTCCAATGGAGAAGGAAGATTCGCAGCATATTTTGGCCGGAATTTGTCCGGAAGTGAAGATTAACAGAACGATTTCCCTTTTGCTTGGAGACGTGGGCTTTTAGTTTCCACGTTAGATGACGTGGCGTCTGGAATTCAACGGTTTGTGGGCCCGCTTGTGTCCGGGACCGCACACGTGGAGGTCATAGTCTTTTTGGGGACTTTTGATGGCATGCGTCGGCGGTGGGGGCTACTACAGGAAGGTTCAGACTCGGAACTTTGTCACCGGCCGGAATAACCGAATACGCACTGCCGCCGTGCTGGACTGGACGGTGAATGATACAACCCCGCCGGAATTCTAGTTTTTTTTTTCTTTTCTTTGTAATTTTGCCAGCAAGAGAAGCCGAGCTATGTCAGTATTTGAAATCACGTATAATATATCAAGGTTAAAAAATTATTTATAAAGACAAAATTATTATTCATGCCAACTTAAATCTAACTCAACCCTAATAGTACGTTTGATATCAAACATATTCTTGTATTAAAAAAAAGGTATATACTATATACTAGAAATTTGTACCAAATATACAACTGAGAGATCCATTGGAATAAATATATAAGGATGGATACCTAATTGAATGTTAGAATAAATTAGAAGAATATGCGAGACTGACAAACAATTTTGAAAATATAGAATTATGTTAATTTAAAAAATTTGTTGGGATTCTCTTTCGATTGTCTTTCTCAAAAATATTTCCATCAATTTTTCAATGTTTCTAAATTATTTTTAAATTTTATATCAAACCATCCTTATTTGAAAAATGAAAACGCACAAAAATACAAAAAATATAAATTCAGTGGAACACAAAAAATGGACGAATGACAGTGATTAAATGATATTCAATTTGAAGATCAGTGTCTGACAACAATTTGTGAAAAAAAAAATTAGTAGAATTAAGTAGAAAATACAGCGACAAAATATGTGAAAATGTAGAAAAAGAAAGCAAATTGCAGAGACGAGTAAGGAAAAGAATGTAAAAAGATCTGGTGAAGAAGAGAAAGGACACCTAGTAGATTATACGAGAGTTTTGTTTTGTTTTGTTTTTCTTTTGTGGAAAAGCAAAGTTTACAAAGGGAAGTGAGGCCGGGGGGAGAAAAATGGCATAAATCAAGTAATTGTATGAATGTTCGGGGAATCATAGAAACTCATATTTTATGCGGGAATCAAGATAGCTTCAAATTAGCCTTTCTGAGATACCTGACAATTTTAGGATTATCACAATCCAAAATGGTAATCCACATGCCCATGATGCGGGTATTTTAGATTACCGCCAAACAAACCGTTCTTAAAAATTGTGTTTATTTCGATTTTTATATTTTAAATAGATTTTAATTAGCCTTTTATACTGTCAAATGCTTGAACATTTAGTTGACATGATTCGACAGGTAAGCCTTAAATAATATAGTCAACCTGTCACATAATGAAAAGTTCAACTAACTAGAGAAAAAGGATTTATAAGACAAAAAATTAAATGTTCATAGACTTGATGAAAGCTAATTTTTAAAGTACATGAATTAGATAAATACAACCTTGAAGTTTAGGTTGATTTGTAATATTCACATTTCTTGTTTATTGTTTTTCATTTTTCATTTTTCATTTTCAATTTTTGAGAAACATAAATATTTGGTAATCATTCATCTTTGTGGTATTTTATCATTTTTAAGAAAAATTTCGAAAAGTGTGTAGAAATTTTGAAAACAACCAAATCAATTTCTTAGTTCTTGTTATCATTTAATAGTTTTTTTTCAAATATAAATATAAATATTATTTTATCATTCTTAACTTATAAAATATATAATAACTATTTTTTAATTTGGAATATTTAATTTTAAAAAAATCGTTTTAATATAAAAGTTTTACCTTTTTGACTTAAAATTTCACATACAAAAAATAATTACTAAAACATAAACATGTTTCCGTGATTATGTTCAAAATCCGAGACTTCCAATTAGAGACGTTCGCTCTTATGGACTCTGGAGCCGATCAGAAGGTTATTCAAGAGGGATTGGTCCTTTCAAAATACTTTGAAAAAACCAAAGAAAGTCTCAGCGGAGCCGGTGGAAATCCGTTGAATATCAAATACAAATTATCAAAGGTCCACATCTGCAAAGACRAYGTGTGCCTTATCAATACCTTCATCCTGGTCAAAAACCTCAATGAAGGAGTAATTCTAGGTACCCCTTTCTTGACTCAATTATATCCTTTTTCAGTCACTGATAAGGGAATTGTGTCAAAGAAGTTCAACAAGGAAATTATCTTCGAATTCAGTCAGCCAATAATTCCAAGATATATTTCGTCCATTGAAGAAGACATTAGTCTTTATATCAACAGTATCGCCAAGAAGGAAAAACAGATAGAATTCCTTCAGGACGATATAAAGACTTGCAAGGTGGCAATTCAAATCAACAAGCCATCCGTTCAGCAAAAAATACAAAATTTCCTGAAAAAGCTCGAGAAGGAAGTTTGTTCAAACATCCCGAATGCGTTTTGGGATAGAAAAAAGCATATGGTGAATCTGCCATACGTTGATGATTTTAAAGAAGCCGAAATTCCTACTAAGGCTCGGCCCATTCAAATGAGCAAAGATCTGGTAAGGACTTGTACCAACGAGATAACAGATCTTCTCAAAAAGGGGTTAATCAGTCCTTCCAAAAGCCCATGGTCATGTTTGGCCTTTTATGTCAACAACCAGGCAGAAAAAGAACGTGGAATTCCTAGGCTCGTTATAAACTACAAGCCTCTCAACAAAGTCCTAAAATGGATTAGGTATCTTATACCTAACCGTCAGGATTTACTAAAAATGATCACTTCTGCGAAGGTGTTCTCAAAGTTTGATCTAAAATCTGGGTTTTGGCAAATTCAGATTCATCCAAGTGACCGTTACAAGACGGCTTTCA